CCCTGAGCAATGAACCCATGAGCAATCTGAAGATAAGTTTAAGTTAGCCTTTACTTCCTTTTAATCCAGTCTGATGACTTTAAAGTCAGTAACTCTCAGCCCCCAAATTGACGTGATGCGTTTGGTGGGTCAAACTGGAGACCAAGAAGAAAATTTCACCTTCTTAAGTGAAGATGGTGGTGATGGCATAAAGAGGTGGCAACAGGAAACTTAAGTGGATTTGAACAGAATGGAACAAAAACAAAGATGCCAAGCAACTGGGAAGGAATGAAAAAGCCTTTCTCTAAGTCAATTAGTTGAAGCTAGGTGGCCTTAGTTCATAGGCTGCTTCCCATCTGGAGGCCCGTTGCTATGTGCTTCTGAAGGAAAATAACTGAAAATCTCTTGATTATATTAAAGTGTAACAATAAATCTCACCATGCAGTGGAAGCTACAATATAAGGAATAATAAAAGTAAATGTTATGGCACTTAACTTCATGGCCTATAATCTCCCATTCAATCAGAACAGAGATTCTTCCATCACCAAGAGAGCCGGACAATTTAATTTTTGTTTCTATTCATGCACAGGCCTGTGCTGGAGCACTTCCATATCTTCTATTATGCTACTTGAAAAATGGCTGCATAGTTTGATACAAACAATATCTCAATCTGACATCAACAGCTTAGTTTTGGACCAATTGATTGCATTCTAAATTATCGTTGGCTGACAGATGCTGAGAGCTACCCACACACAAGATCTGAGAAAGCCATGTTCTCTAATTTAATATTATAATAATTTTAAATTACAGCTTTATTAAGAGGAAACACAGATTTATTTATAGAGAACACTGATGGCTTCTAATGATGTTCAGGGCTGCATTATGCTATTCACTGCAGCCCACATTCGGACAGCTTCAATAGTCTGAATCACTAACAAAAACATTCTGGTACAAATACTGTCCTCCTTGATTCAAAGCAACCAAATCCTACAAAAGCTGCCCTGGAAAGAGCCATCCTCTCTGAAATATCCTTTTCTCCTTGACCAATCTACCTGCAAACAGCATTTCTGCCTTTGGGGTTAAAGACATTCTGCTTAAAAATCTGCTTTTTGCTTGGCTTCTGTGAAGTTGCAAGATCCTTTTTTTTCTCCTTGAATGTGGATTTTTGTGGGGGGTTTGGTCTTCACCCCAATGTGCATCTTAACCTTTTAAAATCTCTTTGTGCTGTGTCAGGGTGGTATACTCGAGTATTCAGATGGGTGCTCAAATTGCATGCCTTGGTGCACATGTGAATGTCAGAGGACAACCTTGGATGTTGGTCCTCGCCTTCTACCTTGTTTGAGGCAGGATCTCTTGTAGATCTCCACTGTATCTATGAGAGCAGCTTCAGCTTCAGGGGATCCTCCTGTTTTCAGTTCCCATCTTGCTGGAGGATCACTAGGAGTGCAAATGCTTGCTACTATGTCCATCATGTCTTTACCAAGGGACAGACATTTCTCTAGGACCTCCTTTAAATCTTTTTTATCCCTCTCTTTTATTTCTGGTAAATTTAGACTTTATCTTCCTAACCCAGATGACACCTCTAAGCAAACAATATTAATATAAACATTTCTATCCTTCTGCAGTCCACCAAGTATTTTGCTATAATTCTGGAACACAAGGTAAGGAAGTCAATGGAGATGCTAAGTAAGGAAAGCCACCCAGACCAGAAGCAACAGCTCCAGCAGTCCAGTTCAGCTCAGGCGTATAGCTACCAATCCTACATTCTCCTCCCCTGGTAGTGCTTATGGGAAATTCTTAACATCTACCTCCAACCCCTGCCTGTCTCTAAATCCTGAGCCTTCACTTTCAGACCTCATCTAGCACTGACACAGGGTGTCTGGACAAATATCTAAGTCAGTATGCTTAATCTAAGCCCATCTAACTTACTGGCATCTAGATTTCCTTTATCTGATTGGTCCCATAAAGCTCTTCAGCATTTAGTATACAAATTTTGAGGTTTGATACATCACTTCAATGTTATCATGAATGGCTTCTACTGTCTCTAGAATAAATTATGAATCCATCCCCCATAAAGTCAATTTCATTTCTACTTATATTTCCAAGTCACTTTATCTCCTTAGCACAAACTTCCTAATGTAGCCAGGCTGGTTTATCTATGCCAAGATTTCAGAATTTCTCCATGTGGTATCCCTGCCTGTTCCCACCTCTGCCTAAGCAAATCCTGAAGATATAGCCAAGTTTGTGCTCTTTTGTGGAGCATGTCTCTGGTACATAGGAACATCCTGATCAGTATTTTGTCCTACTAGTTAGTTGTCCCATCCTCACACCTCAAGGGTCATTTGTTATCCTGTTACCTTATGGATCCACAGAAGCAGACCTATGTGTGAGGGTGTTTGGGTAGTGGATACTCCAGTATTTCCTGGTTGATGACATAGCTGCTCATCAGCAGTTCTTGAAGTTCAAATAATCTATACAGTAGGTTGTTAACTTGTGCAGTGTGGGTCTTCTGGAACTAATGTCTTCTTGGCAAAATGAAAAACCCTCAGCACCATCTCTCTGGGTTCCCAAATACATACAACTGGGACTTAGTTTCCACAGTATGAAAAGTGCTTGGATGAATTCTTCTCCCATCAATGCCACTAATATTTCCAAACTAGTTGGTCAGACTAGAAAACATGCTGGTCATACTTTATTTAGCAATAGCCATTTTAGACAACTCCAGACCCAAAGAAAACAAGGGTCAAAGGCTAATGCTCTTAGAAAAGCAAGACACATAGCACTGCGTATTCTAGAGAAAGAAAACCACCTCTCTTTCCTGTGTGAGATCTTACCTATGCCCTTTACCAATATTTCACCAATCAGTTGCTATGGCTGAAAACAGGCTGAATACCAAACCACAGTAGGAGAACCATAACTTAATCTAGCCCTTCAAACAGCCACTCACTGGTCTTCTCTTTCCTACTCTGTCATTCAGTTAAAACTTGTAGCTGGCCAGTTTCAACTGTTAGGTTATACTTCATGACAGAGTCTCAAAGGCTGGCTGAGGATATAAACTAGCTTCTGTGAGCAGCACAAGCATTTTTTGGTATTTACAGTCACAACCAAGCACCCTGCACACAAGGCCTCACAAGGTCAGGCCAGAGACTCCAGGTCAGCAGTTTGCAAAGATGTGATTCTATTAGCAGATTCAGAAGAAAACATTATCCAACCTTGGGGGTCACATCGGGCAGACTAGAAAACTGCTCATGTCAAGCATTCTGCTCCCTTATAAGGCCTACCAACTGTTGGGCATTTGTTTCTAAGTAGTCAATACAGATGACTCTGGAAATCTATCTTTATGTCAAATCAATCCCACTAGTAACTTCCAGATGTTGGGGGTGAGGGGATTGGAGGAAGGTAGGCATGGTTAGAAATGAGGAACACAGCCTGACATTGTGGTACATGCCTGCAATCCTAGAATTTGGGAGATGAAGGCAGGAGCATGTTGAGTTTGACACCAGTCTGGATTATATATTACAATAAGTTCTAGGCTACCCCAGTGTGATGGTTAGTTTTAATTGTCAACTCGACAAAATTTAGAATCTCCTGGGAAGAGTGACTCAATGGATTTTTTAGATCAGGTTGTCTTTATGGGCATGTCTATGGGGTATTATCTTGATTATACTAATAGAGGTGGCAAAACTCATCCACTATGGGTAGCAACAATCCCTAGGCAGGAGATCCTGAACTATATTATCATCAAGAATACAAGTATGCATACATTCATTCTCTCTACTCTTGATAATGGATATGATTAGCTGCTTCATGCACCTTGCTGCCTTGGTTTCTCCAAAATGATGGACTGTAGCCTAGCATTGTGACCTAAAAAAACCCTTCTGTCATAAGTTGCTTTTTTGCCAGGGTATTTTATTATAGCAACTGGAAAGGAAACTAGGACACCTGGGCTATATAAGGAGATGCAGCCAAAAAAGAAAATAAAACCCAAAAATGCTGAAACTAAACTAAACAAAAACAGAGGAAAGAAAAAAGAAGTGTGCAACATGAGGAATATTGGTAGTGACAGATATATTAGGAACCCTGAATTTTAGCAAATACATACAAAATAAAATTGCAGAGGAACTTATATATACACAGATACCAGTAAAAGTGGGCAAATCTGAATATGACAAATGAGATGCAACACACCAATGCCAGTATAGCACTAAAGATTTGAGAGATGTTATCAAAGGACGTGGAGGAGGAAAATATGTATCATTTCTAAAGCCTGTCTGTGAATATATAATGAACTCACAAGCAAACAATTAAAATAAGGGCAATTTCAAAATTTAGCTTTCTAAAATAGAATGCAGGAGAATGTTACTTTATGACAATAGGTACAAATAAAAAGATGCTGCACTTAAAAAAAAAAAAAAGATCTGGACTTGAGACTTGACATCTAAAAGGGTTGTGACCCAGGTCACACTGCCAGTTACCTCACATCCATTCAGATATACCCCAAAAGGACTTTGACTTTTGTTTATTCAGAGTGACCTTAGCCCCTTCCCATTTATCACACAGTGCTGGTTTGACCTTGTGGAAGTAAGTTCCTCATGTTTGTGCTAAGTGGCAATTACCATACACAAAAAAGCTCATTTTAACCTCAAAGTCAAAGTACTTAGAGCCACTTCTACAGTGAACCCTGACATTTTGCATTTGCACCTTTTTCTAGGCTGGATAAACATGAACTAAGTAAGTGCCTACTTCTACAAAAATGTTCATTCATCATTTCTCTTCACTAGAACATATAAGGAATTTTGCTAAGGCCAGGGATGCAAAAAACCCCAGGCATTTTGTCTTCAGATAGAAATCACCATCACTTACTTTCCTTGTAAAACAAGGACACCTTAAAAACTAGCTAAGGCTGACAGCCTAGCATTTCAGTGGGCATGACAGAGCCCATCCTGTTGCTTGAAGAGGCAAGCTAGGCCCTGCAGTTGTTTCCTAACTCTGTGAAGAGAAGCAGAAATATCTTCACTCACCAATGTCATTGCTGCGGTCTGAGAGGTCCTTGTCCAGGATGCCAGAGAGTACACTGCCCGCCAAGTCAATCTTTGGACTGTCACCCCTACATTAAAAACACAAGTCCAAATATTTAATAATCAGTGTGTCCTTGTCATTCCTTCCACATTCTTGCTGCACACACATTACGGAGCATGCTGTGTGTGTGGTGTGAATGGTACTGTTACCTGTAAAAGGAGCCAAAGGGAGGTAGTGAGAGCTGTCCAGCCACATGGGCTGTGGTAGAAACTGGCCAGCAGACTGGGTGTCCCTCTGTTCTGTACATATTTTCTAAGATGGCTATTTTAATAATGACCCTTTGCCAATGCACTTCTACCACAAACCCTCCCGCTGTCTCCACAGGATGCAACACAGGCCTGTTCCCGCCCCATGGCCAAATAAGCACTGACAAACTGGTGGCTTCCCTTTTAAGGAATACAGAATTTAGCCAATGCTTCTTGTCAAAGGTCAGCTACTTTTAACCTTGAGAAAAGGGTTCTCTGGCCTGGGCTGAGGCATCAGCCAGGCTGTTGACAGGCAGAAGGTGTCAAGTTGAGATCTGGCAGCTTGAAGGCTGGCACTGGGGTACAAGTCTATAAAATTAGATAGCTTCTGAGTGGTCATACCCCACCCCCACTCTGTGCCCATTATGACATGTGTGACTTCTCTCAGAATCTGGGCTAGAAGAAGTCCAAATGTAGGAAGGGAATAAGTCTCCAAGATAAGGAAAGAAACCATTTTTTTGTAGACTACACCTGAGATCCCTCCAAAAAGACAGGTCTTTGGCCCTGTTAGGGAGATGAGCCCCAAATAAAGTTATCCAAGGGCTGATCCTTTCCATGAAATGAGAGTGGAAACTGAGCAGTTGTTCCTATCAAAGCAATAGAAATAGTCCTCTCACAGCCTTTGCAAGTTACCCTGGCCTGAAGTCAAAATACACCAGGAACATTTACTTTCTGAAACAACTGTCTGGGAGTATGGAGAGGGCCAGTGTGGGAAGTACCTACCCTGGAAAGGCCCATGATGTGAATGGGACAGGCACATAGACCACCACAGGTCCATAAGGCATGACACCTGCATGTCATAGTCCTGAATAGGGCAGGGGAACTCTACAGGGTACAAAGAACAGGAGCATTACAGTTGGGCCTTGCTGGAAATAAAAAGGCATACCCATAAGAGGCAGAACTGTGTCCTGGGAAAATGGCTCAGTGAGTTAAAGCTCTTACCACACAAGCAGGAGGTCCTGACTTCAAAATTTACAAACTCACATAAAGCCAGTCCCAGTAGTACACATCTATAATTGCAATGCTCCTAAGGTAAGATAAGAGATTGAGACAGAAGAATTCCCCAGAAATCTGTTAGCCAGCTGAACTCAGCAAATACAGCAGTGGATGGCTAGAGGGAGGTATGAAAACAGGGTAGAAGGCAATGACTGACACCTGAGGTTGTTTTCTGATACACATACATACATACATACATACATACACACACACACACACACACA